CCATAAAATAAACATTATGTCGGAACACCAAGACCCTGCTATTTCTGCAGAACTTCGGGATTGGCTATTTGCCACCATTGCGGAGTCCATTCCCAAAGCTCTGGCAGCTTATCATGAACAAGCTACTACAGAGGTTCATCCCTCTACACACCAACCCTCTGACTCAGAGGATTCCCACCTTTCAGACAAAGAAAATGCCCCGCGCAAAAGACCCTGGAAAAGGAATAGCGCTACTGCGGGCAAAGGTAAAGCTCCTGCGAAAATCCTCAAACATTCCAAACCATTTACTATGCAGAATCCGACAGACCCTCTAGAGGGCTCTACTTCCCGACTAGCTGGTCATATTTTAAACGACTATGACACCACCTACTCTGATGAGGATCCTACGGTGAATATGCCCCAGGATTCCTCAACATCAGAGTTTATTAAGGAAACTTTTCATGTTCAGGATGCTAAGGGTGCCCCTCCATCTAAAGAGCCTGCCTCAGACACCCTTCTGGATTCTTCAGGCCTCCCCTTTTTTGATCCAAGGGTGATTCGTCACCCACGGTCTGCAGAATGGACCCCTCCTGATCACATTGCCAGTTACTGCAAAATGTGGCTTCGCAAGCCCCTCGAAAAAGAACTTAGAAATAAATTGAGGGCTGAATGCCCAAGACCTACTATTCCGGGCAAAGTTGCCTCTACCCCTGAGTTCGACCCCATGCTTGTCACTTTTTTGACTAAATCCGGCAAAGACCCTCGGAAGGGTATAGAGCAAGGGTTGAAAGCAGCCCAAGACAAGCTTTTGGACATTTCAGGCCCTATAATCCAGATTTTTATCCTGGCAGATGAGGCACTCACTAGTGGTGAATTCGATCCACACACTATCAGACAATGGGCTCAGAGAGCTCTTTGCCTATTAGGCAATGCAAACGTGGCAATTTCAATAGAAAGACGAAAAGCGGCACTTTATAAAATTGATGCTAAATTAGTAGACTTAAGCTCTAAGGAATTGGGACCAGAAGCAGATGGTCTTCTATTTGGTGACAGCTTTATGCAAGACCTCTCTAAGCATGTCTCTGTATTTACAATGCTTAACAAAGCCCAGTCCTCACTACGCAGGGTCTTCCGCTCCCAAACTCATTGTTTTTCCGGGAGAGCTGGTCGCTTCAGGGGCCGAGCTACCAGTAGAGCAGCCTTTGCAGGCTACAGGCCCTGACCCACAGACCATTGGTCCTCTGGACCCACAAGACCCTACCACAGACAGCTCTTCAGCTCCAGAGGCTCTATTCAAGGACGTGGCTCTGCATCCCTGCACGGACGCACTGCTTCAGGTAATGGACCTTACTTATTTTAAAAAATGTGTCAATTGCAGGTCGATTAACCCTTTTTTTCTTAACCCTTTTTTTCCAACAGTGGAAACTACTTTCTCAGGATCACTGGATCCTCCATACAGTCAGGGGTTTCAAAATAGATTTTCTCACACACCCCACTCAGAGCCACCCTCCAACACCCTTAGGGATGTCACAAACAGACAGACTCAGAGTTGCACAAACTATTAGACAAAGGGGCGATCGAACCCTCGCCTTTGCCTTACACTTTCCTCAGCAACATGTTCCTGGTACGGAAAAAGACGGAAGACCACCGTCCTATTATCAACCTCAAAGAGCTGAATCAGTTTATCACATATCGCCACTTCAAGATGGAAGGTATCCATCTTCTCAGGGACCTACTCTGCGTGGGAGACTGGTTCTCCAGATTCGACCTCAAGGACGCTTACCTCACGGTCCCAATCGCACGAAGTCATCGTGCGTTCCTTCAATTCCTCTGGCATGGCGAAATTTGGCAGTTCACCTGCCTTCCTTTCGGACTTTGCTCCGCCCCTTGGTGTTTCACCAAGTTAATGAAGCCGGTCATGGTGCTACTCCGCTCTCGGGGAATACGTTCCATCATATATCTGGACGATATTCTGATCATGGCCCAAGACCAGCATTTGCTTCGCAAACATACGCACATGACCTCTGCTCTCCTTCAAAACCTTGGGTTTGTCATAAATTTCTAGAAATCAGATCTGGAACCATCTCAGGTAGTCCAGTTTCTGGGCTTTCAAATAGACTCAGTCCAGGCAACTTTGCAGCTGCCTTACCCCAAAATAAAAAACATAAAGAAAGAAATCCAAAAATTGCTTTCTTCGCAGCAGCCTCGGCTCCGCGACCTTGCACACATTCTTGGACTCCTGTCTGCATCCATCCAAGCTATATTTCCCGGGCCTTTACACTACAGAGCAATGCAACGGTTGAAAACAACCTACTTGCATCGCTCAACCTCTTACGATCAATTAATTTCTTTGACGGACGAAGTTATCATCGAACTTCATTGGTGGCTTCGCAACATGGAAGCCTGGAATGGGAAAGCGATTTTTGGGTCTCAACCAGATTTTATTCTGGAATCAGATGCGAGCCTCTTGGGTTGGGGTGCTACGTGTGCCCAAACCTCCACAGGGGGTCTGTGGTCCCCATCGGAACAGGCTCTCCACATAAATTGCCTCGAGCTCATTGCTGGATCCTTTGCGATCCGCAGCTTTGCCAAGGACGCCTCCAATTGCTCCCTGGTACTACGGATGGACAATATCTCCGCGGTGCGGTATGTAAACCAACTCGGAGGATCCAAATCCAAACTTCTGTCCGACCTCACCAAGGACCTGTACCAGTTCTGTCTGGACCGGAATCTGTCCATCCGAGCTGAATATCTCCCTGGGTCCGACAACCTAGTCGCGGACTGGTATTCGCGTCATTGGAGGGATGCCAGCGACTGGCAATTAGACCCTCTCCTGTTCCATCACATCCATTTCCTACGGGGACCCCTTACACTCGACCTCTTTGCATCTCGCCTGAATCGTCAGACAGACGATTTCTTCAGCTGGCTACCAGACCCTCTATCTCTGGCAGTCGATGCTTTTCTGCAACCTTGGCCACGGGAGGGAGCTTATGCTTTCCCTCCCTTCTCGATGATTCAACTGACCCTTCACCGGGTCAAAGAGCAAAAAGTCAGGATAGTAATAATCACCCCTCTATGGAGGGCTCAGACCTGGTTCCCCACCCTCCTGGAACTATCAGTAGACTACCCCATCCTTCTACCTCGTTCCTTTCGAGTGCTCAGGAACCCAATGGGCGATTACCATCCTCTCGCCCTGCAGGGCCACCTTCAACTGGTAGCTTGGACAGTTTCAGGGGAGCTTGGCATGTCGCGGGTCTTTCACGCACAGCTCAAACACTTCTCTGGGACTCGTGGGCTCCAGGAACCAGACGAACCTACCTCTCCGCATGGCGGAGTTGGGTTAGCTGGTGTCTGGAGAGGGACCTCGATCCCGTCTCAACACCTCTTTCACCCATTTTAAATTTCTTATCATCTCTCTTCGATCAGGGTAAATCTTACCGATCGATTAATATTTTTTGTTCCGCCATTTCGGCAGCCCATGACACTATTGATAATTTCTTGATTGGGAAACACCCTTCCATGTGCAGACTTTTACGGGGCATTCGTTTGACAAGGCCACCTTCTGCCAAATACTCTACGTTCTGGGATATCTCTCAGGTTTTCACACTGTTGGATTCCTGGCCACCTAACGAGGCCTTATCCTTGCGCCAACACTCTGCGAAATTGGCCTTGCTACTGTGCCTGGTGTCCTTCCGCAGGGTTTCAGACGTTCAAGCCTTTGACTCTCACGCTGTGACCTTCGCACAAGACGGTGTCAGATTTACCATTACTAGACGCACTAAGACGAATTCTTCGTCAGTCTTTTATCCATACTTTCCCGACAGGCCGTCACTCTGTGTAGCCCTGTGCACCCGTTGTTACATTGACAAGACTATCTCTCTGCGTCCCTCTACCGGACCTCTGTTTGTCTCTTACATTAAGCCTCACAAACCGGTCTCCTCCCCCACCATTGCACGATGGATAAGATGGTTGCTTACCCAAGCAGGAATTGATAGCTCTTTTGGAGCTCACTCCGTTAGGGGAGCGGCCGCATCCTCTGCGTTTCGCGCAGGCAGCTCACTGGCAGATATTTTAGCCTCTGCAGATTGGTCAAGAGAATCTACCTTTCGCACCTTTTATTTTAAACCAACACCACATGCGGGTTGTTCCTTTATTCAAGAGCGTAAAAACAGCAAATATGAAGCCTCCTGTCTTGCCATAAAATTAGGGATTATTCTAGTTTACAGTGAACGAATAATCTAAATTTTATTAAAGACAGGAGGCGAATATTTTCCCTCCCTTCGTTCACTCTGGAACCCACCCTACAGGTAAGTCTCTCGTTCTGAGGTTATTGCATTGTACACTCCCTTGCAATTTGATTTGTAAGCATACACTTCGCTAATCAGGTAGGGCAAACTTGTACACACTTTGCAGTTTGATTGGTAGGCATACAATTCACTAATCTGTCCATCAGGATAATCTGAGCTATCATTTTAGAATGCGTATTTATACTTTTTCTCTTCTTCAAGAGACCATACTTTCACAAAGTCTCTTTTCTTCTCTTCTAGTATGAAAACTTCGGATTACCCTCTTCATCTACACGTTTACATGGTTGACTTGCTACGGACTAAAACCGCAGAATGTTTCCAGTTTACAAGTTGATTCTACTCCTGATCGGCACCACCTAAGAAAGAGAAAGTGGGAGGAGTCTGGTGGCACTATATTGCTCTATGATGTGTTATGATTGGTTGACTTTTTTTACAACTTTGTTAACTATTTATTTGCTGCTGGGAGTTTCAGTAAAGAAAGATAAGCAAATATTCGCCTCCTGTCTTTAATAAAATTTAGATTATTCGTTCACTGTAAACTAGAATAATCCCTAATTCACTACCATTTAGGGTGTAATTTGCTTGTGCATTCTTTACACTGAAGTGCAAAATTTTACATTTTTCTACATTAAATGTCTGTGTTTTGGAGGTGGTTAAAGTCCAAAGCAGCTGGAGTGTATGATTTAGACACATTCTTGTTATGACAATACCTCTTAATTATCCTGTCTGTGGGGAAACCTATCAAACACATCGATTATACACCATTAGATGATCCCAATGCTGTCCTTCGGCCCAGTAGAGTGAATAAGACTTGTGGAAGAAGATGATCTGAGTGGATAAGACACATGGACGAAAAGGATCTGGCCAGGAGTAATATCTTCTGTGCCACCTGAATTCCTGATGGAAACTAAATAACCGATATTGTTAGAGGTTTTCCAGGTTAATGCTCACAGCTTATTTAAATGCATTGACAAAACAATACATGTTAAAATTTCAGGTTTGCATTTTCTGTAATTAGCTCTACCCAGATCAGGAAGAGATTCAGCCAACTATGATGCTACTGTAACCGCAGCTGGTTCAATTATTTACCACTCTAATGTCTTAAAGCATAGAACTTGGGCTAACCATACAGATATCTTAGCCATAATTTTATATAGTCGGTAAGAGATCCTCTATTTAACATATATAAATTATTGAGTATACAATATAAAATAAGGATTGTCTTGGAAGCAATAAAGTTTTGTCTTTTTAGATATTTATTATTTAAAAATATAAATATAGACATATAAAATCCATTACAATAATTTATAGCAGAGTTTATAAGATTAAACTATACGCTTGCAATATCATTAAAATAGAACAACAAACCCTCTTGAACATTGTTGTGGATCCAAATAATGATCTTTGTTATATTCAGAGGAAGCCCAAATTGTTGTAACAAGTGCACTTGGAGAAGCAATAATGAGACACCAGACACCTGTTGGTATTCAAAATAAGCCTCTGCTGTTTTATTCATCAGCTGGGTTTTATACATTAAAAAGTGCTTACGTGTAAATACTCTTAGAACAGTAATAGGAATGTAAGTACAGATAAGACATAGGGATGAATGTCATGTACACATAACAAATAAGTTCCAAGGTAAGAAAGAACAAAAAGATTAGAGAAGAGACATTTCAGGTAGGGGCTCTCTGCTCCCGGAACTAGAGGAACTCACCACCCCCATAACACACGAAGAAGTAAAAGATGCCATCCTGAACCTACCAACAGGTAAATCCCCGGGCCCGGATGGCTTTGCAAATAGCTACTATAAAAAGTTCCACGACATACTTACACCACATCTGGCAAGGGCGTTCAACGAAGCCACAGGCATGCAACAACTACCCACTGAGAACAGCCCACATCATAACTCTCCCAAAACCAGGGAAATCCCCCACCTGCCCACAAAACTTCCGCCCCATATCTCTATTGAATACAGACGCCAAATTATATTCAAAAATACATGCAATGCGGCTAGGCAAGATAATACCCCACATAATCCACACAGACCAAGTTGGGTTTACAAAAAATAGACAGGGAGGGGACAACACTAGGAAAGTGCTAGATATCATCCAGAGTGCCCAGCGCATGAAAGCGGAGAGCCTGCTGGTATCACTGGATGCAGAAAAGGCCTTCGACCGCCTAAGCTGGGAATTCCTGGAAAAGGTCCTCCTTAGATTTGAGGTGCCAGAGGGATTCCTCTCGGTGGTCAGAGCATTATACAACTCACCCACAGCAAGAGTCCTAAACGCAGGATTTGTCTCAGACCCACTTAAGATTACAAACAGATCAAGACAGGGGTGCCCCCTCTCACCATTACTCTATGTGATGGCCCTTGAACCACTGGCAGAGGCCATAAGACAAAACACATCAACACATGGAGTGACAATAGGAGACAGAGAATATAAAGCGAACCTGTTCGCAGACGACTTACTATTGACCCTAACGCAGCCACACATTTCATTACCAAACCTAATGGCAACCATTGCTGAATATGGGAAACACTCTTATTACAAACTAAATGTCACTAAGACACAAGCTATGGAAATGGGGATCCAACCAAATAAGCTAGAGAGACTCAAAGCAGCATTCTCCCTAGACTGGAGAACTGACCACTTAACATACTTAGGTATAAAAATCCCACCCAACTTAAACAACCTATTGGATAAAAAAACTACACTACACTCACAAAAACCATGGCCGCCACACTAAAATCATGGGAAGGGAAATACCTGTCGTGGGTGGGGAGGATAGCAGCGGTGAAAATTATGCTACTCCCAAAATTCCAATATCTGCTGCGCACCCTACCCATACCACTGCCAAACACACACCTGGCCACAATAGAAAGATTAATCACTCGATTCATATGGGCCAACAAAAAACCAAGGGTGCCATCCAGCATACTGCAACAACCCACCACAAGGGGGGGACTGAGCCTGCCAAACATAAGAGACTATTACAAAGCAGCACAGCTAGCGGCAGTCAAAGCAGCAACAGCAGAGGGGGAAACACCACAATGGACCCAAATAGAGGACATTGGGTAAACAAACGAAACTTTAGGGACTTCTTTTGGCTCCCGAAATCTATGCACTCACAACATATACACCCTCTACCAACCACCACCCTGACACTTAAACACTGGAACTAAGAAAGGGAGAGAGGTAAAGAACCAAGGGAAACACGGCCAGATGCACCAATTGCATGCCTCACAGTGGCATCCCCTCTCTGGCCACGAAACCGTGGGAGGAGCGGGGCTGCATCACGATCAACCATTTATACAAAGACAAGGAACTGTTGCCCTTCCCAGAACTCCAATCCCTATACAATATACCCAATAAAGCACTGTACACATACCTACAAATGAAGTCGCTCCTCACAGGAATGACACTACAAAGCCAGGAGACAACGCACACGAATAGCACTTAAAAACTGTGCCTGGCAGGCAGACCTCCCAAAAAAGCATTGTCCACACTATACTCCTCCCTCATATCATTAGACACTGGGACACCCATGTCTTTCCAAACAGCATGGCATACCGAACTGGGTCATGCTATTGAGGTGGAAACATGGCAACGGGCATTCACAATACACAAGGGGAACACACTATGTACGTCCCATCTAGAGACCATCCGAAAGCTACAGTATAGATGGCACGTGGTAGCGGAGAAATTGGCCGCGATACACAAAGGCATGCCGATCGAATGTTGGAGGTGCAAGGGGAGGGAAGGCTCGATGAGCCACATATGGTGGTCATGCAAAAACATTAAATCGTTCTGGAAAGAGGTGGAGAGGGTGGCGACAGAGATGCTGGTTAGAACTTGGCCCATAAACATAGAACAAGGTATACTATTCATGATACCAACAACACTAGGGAAAACTGAAGAGAGGTTGATATTCCACCTTTTAATATCAGCAGTGACCATTATAGCAAGAGCATGGAAGTCAACACAGACACCCACTAGAGAAGCCCTACTAACCCAAACATCTCTCAACTGGAAATACGAGCAAATGGCAGATAAACACATAGGGCAGAGGAAACACACAAATCAAGCGGGGGAGAGATGGAGATTGTACCTTAGCGCACAACCAGGTCAACACGGGGGAGGGTAGGAGACCAGGGGCTAGGAAGGAGAGACGGGACAAAGAAAAGAGGGGATCGTACAACAAATACGAAATACACAACCACAACGAAAACACAAATACCGACAGGAAGGGAATTGGTGAACTCCCAAGATAACCTATAGAAAGATCAGAATTGCGAAATAGAAAGAAAAAAAAAAAAGGTGTTGTGTATTAGAGATAAAGTGTAACACTGGAATTGTATTTAACCTCAATGATGTAACAAAATGTCCTGCATAACTCCCAATCTTCCTTTTCTGTACCCTGGCGAGCAGGCGCCACAAACTGACCAATGTGATTCACTAATAAAACAAAATTTTAAATTGAAAAATATATATATATATATATATATATATGAGAGATCTGTCTACATATTTTGGTTTAATCCAATAGTATATACTACAAATAGTGATCTCCATATATACACACATGTATATGAGTATTCCTACACATTCCCACACATGTATATGAGTGGATTTGTTTGTTATGTGTATTTAGTTTTCAATAAAGTCTATTACCATTTATGCTATTTTAACAATAGAGGTAATTCTAGTGAGGTGGGTCCTATCTAACTTTTATTTGGACACCTAACCTCACTTTTTCTATTTTTTCAAGTGTTGATGTCAATTGGGTTTATGTCCCCTATTACCTCGGTAACCTTCTCTATGGCAACAGTGTAGGTTTTTCCTTCATCTGAGGCCGTATCTACCCTCTTGAACATGTCAACATCTCTGTCATTACAATGTGGAGCGACAGTGTCTCTGTCTCCAAATTTCTCCTCTGTCTGTTAACATTTAAAAGGTACACATATTTATAATTTTTTTTTATTTTAGGGTTACCGTAGTTCATATATGAAAAAGTCAAACTTCTTTTACTTTTATTCATTTTTGGACCTCCCTTAACTTGGCAAAGATACAAGACCATAACTAAAATGTGCACACATCATGGGAAATTCCCTGACTTAGGACAAGATGGCGTCTTAAAGTCTGAACATCTTATCTATTGTTTATACTAAAACGTAAGGGTGTACATGTCATGGGAAATTTCCTGACTTAGGACAAGATGGCGTCATAAAGTCTGATGACGTAGCATAGCCTTGAATATGTTATGCATTGCTTGTTTTTGTATTAAACTAAGACAAATTGGCGTAAACATATTATGCACTGAAAGTAGGTAAGAGGTTATTGCTTAAACATGTATGAAAAACAATATGTTCAATTTCTAACACTTTGTCAGTTTGAAATGTCTCTTAAAGACAAAGTAAACAGTTTAACACTTGTAATATTTGCATTTGCCCATAACACTACTATAACTTTCTATAGCAGTGCTGAGTTAATCCCATAAATCGCTGTCTTGCAATGTTTTATAGGTGCAAAAGGGGTTCCTGTGAGTTAAATTTTAGTGGTATATGAATACAGTATGTAATGTGTCATGTGCTGATTAATGTGTGAAGGCTGTGGGCACTGTGGAAATGAAAAGCAGTGTGAGTAATAATTTTTTGTAGGTAAATGACATGATTAGTGTGTGAACAACGTGGTTACTCTAAGAGTTGTGAACCGCTTAACATTGGCAAGGGCCCTAGGCACGATGCCTGAATTGGGCTCCCTCCTAGAGCACTTGGCTCTGTTCTTTGAGTGTCGTATGTGTGCAGGGAATATTGAGTGTTGTGTGTTTAGTTGCTAAGTGTGTCTGTATGTGCTGGTTGCATCTTGTGGGTGGCTGCGCTGCATGCTGTTTGGAGATTTAGGGTAGGTTTTTAATGTGTCCCTCCC